TCCTCATCAATTTTTAAAATCTGATTAAAACTGACCAAAAGATTCAGAAGCAATCTCATAGACTTAAGCAACAATAATTTTTCTACCTATCAGAAGCAAACCTACAATTTCAGAACTGGCAAGGGGAAAACAAACAAACAAAACCACCCAATTAACCCACCCAATAAGAGTTGGGAAGGTAAGGGACAAGCCAGTTGAATAGCACTCAAGAAGTACTTTTGGCACTCCTAGAATTATGTGAGTGCTGTCCTTGCCTCAAAGAGACACCTCAGAGATTACATAGGGGAGAGGTGGATGGAGTGCACAAAGAATGAGAACAGAAAACAAGACCACAATACCTTTTTTTTTAATATTATTTGCTGGATCAAAATGTAACTCTACCTACCAACATGCCTCTGACAGAAATTGTGACAAAGATATGAGATTGTTGAATCTCATGTTTCTATGCAACACTGGTGGATAGTGCAACAATGGTGGAATCATTCATGACCTCAGAGGTGAGATGGCAACATGAACAGACTTCATTATTCATTAACAGACTTCAAAGAGATTTATTTTAATCAACATTCAAGTATACTTTGCTTGCTTTCATCCTGTAATTGCTAATTCTGTATCCTTAGTGAAATACTGAACAACTTTTGCTAAGCTGAAATAGTCCCTGAATATAGTAAGTTCATTTTCCTCCTAAAATACAGACAAACCAAAAAAGAGTATCTTAAAGGAGTTACAATCTGTAGAACTAGAAGCAACACCTTATGACATTTCACACACCACATCAGATCCAAATCTGTTGTAACCAACATCGAATTAGGACAGTTCTACAGATAGCAACTTTGCTGATATTCTGCTCTATACTTGCTTTTGATATAAATCCATCTTTGCACATTTCCACATACTTCTCAAATATATCAGCCTGCATATTTTAATTAATAATAGAAAGTGGATCCTGGACCTCAGAACACATGTCATACCAATCCCTAGGCAACGTCAGCAGTAATAGCAGAGCATCCAAAAACTTCCAGAAGGGGGAAAAGGGGTGCATAGGAGATGAAAATTAAGATCTCCGAAGAAAGAAAAAGAAAATACACATACATTTAAAACGTGCTTACTGACTACAGTTTATTTGGGCTCTCTGTGGGTTGTAGGTTTATAATTATTACAGGTGTCTATGGACTGAAGGCTGTGGCAAGCAGCTGCAGTCAGGACTGATGTGTGCTAAAAAAGGCACGTAGAAAAACCTGTTCCTTGCCTGCCTGCAGCCTCCACTCGAGCCAGAGAAATCACTTGCAGGCACAGATTAACTTCACAAAGGAATCTGAATTACACTCTCTCTTAGTTGCCTAGAAGATTAATAACACATTAACATCTCAGGCAGTTAGCAGGAAACATTAACTTCGATCTGATGAAGCTGGGCATACTGCAGAACAAGAAGAAATAGGACACAGAAGCAGCTCACCTTTAGGACTTCCTCAGAGACATCTTTCTGTAGCTCTTCCAAGAACAACAAAAATTCTGTTTCTTTCCGAAGAGCAACTGGAACAGTTTTCTGAAACCAATAAGAATGGGAAATGTATTAGTCAATAAAACTTCTATTTACATTAGCATATAAACATAATCATAACTATTTAATTAACACTTTGAGGCAGACTGAAATATCTCTCTGAAGTAATCTAGTCCTCAATTAAAGGCTATTCCAGTTAGGTTCTGCTCTCACACCAGTTGATTTTATTTATCCACACATTTGGGAACAGATCTCATCAAGAATCACAAGACCATCATATACTCAGAATGGAAAGAAAAAATGCAAGTCCAAGTAGTGCCAAGGACAAATTGCTTTTTTAAAAAAGTATGCATATCCCTCAGAATTGTCTGATGCCTCAGCCATTTAATCTTTACTGTAAGAGAGGTGCTGCACAAATGCAGAAGTTGATGCACTCCTGATTTTCGTTTACATGAATGTGAAAAGCTAAAATGTTAACTTTGAATATCTTTTTTAAAAACTGCTAGTTTTTCTTCAGTGTGAATATTACAGTTCTTTCTTGATAAATTTGTTAAATGCAAAAGCAGTGCATGTCTCCAGACACCTTAAGAACTTAATTCCATGAAACATGGGAAAGCCTACATTTAAATAAGCAACTAGGGAGTCATTCTGGACTTGGAAGTCAGAGCTATAAAGTGCATTTGGAATCATGAAGATGTTTCTGTACCTGATTCGTGGCAAGCCATTTTTCCAGCACAAGAAGCCAAAGCCATGCAGCTCTCGATGGGCTAGAATTCTGTCCACATCTACAAAAGCAAGGGGCATACACAGGGGATTACACAAGGTTGTCTCCATATCCAAGATCCACAAAAACATCGTCAGAGATCATTTTGATTTTGTATCTCTTTGAGTGAGATAAAAACAAAGACAAGTAAGTAGCCAAAGAAAAAGGAAAACAATGCAGAGAAACCAGAATGTTGGTGTTCCTGCACATCAACTCAGCGACTTCTGCTGTGCAAAAACCTGCTTTTAGATACACCAAATACTACTAGCATAGTTCCTCAAAACAAAGAAGCTAGTTCTGGTCCAAAGTTCAGTCTGTACTGCTCTCTTTGAGCACTTCAGCAGATTTCGTTGAAATGTGACCACTTGCCAAACTCTGCTATTTCCTGTTCTGTCTATTTCTACCAAAAAAATGAAGCGAAATTTTAGGCCACAGCACCCAAATGCAGCTCTATATCCAAATTAAAAATGAAGCAATTAAACTAATTAAACAAAGAGTCCTTCTAATTTCCATCAGCATTTCACATCCTCCAGTACTTCAACATTCCAAAGCCTACACAGCTGGGAACATATTCAGTACTGTCAAAGGGACCAGGAAAAGGAGAAAGCACATTATTGTTTCCTGTCCTTTAAAAATCTCAGCACTACTAACTAAAGCCTTTAAATGTGATAGCCCAGCTATTAAAGATCAAAAGATTGAAAATTCTTATGTCTCAGTGGTTGTTGGCAATATTCATCTAACCACGAGCACACCTTCCTCCAGAGTCCTTCAGCTGCTGTCAGTGTAAATTGTCTCTTAGAACCCTTATCATCTGATTAGACAGGGGGAATACCAATGTTCCCTGAATCGCTAAAAAGTCACCCTTCATACACACCTAACTGAAAAAATAAAAAGTAAGAGATAAAAAGTAACTGGGATTGAGTAAAATGGATGCCATTCCAAAATACAGTGTGAGAGAAACAAGAAATCAACAGCATAATTTGAACTTCTGGGAATTGCAGTTTTAGAAATTAGGAGATTTTTCATGAGTTGCAAACAAGTTAACATTTTAAATAACTTCACCACTGATCTTGGTGGTTCCATTTCTAAACTAACCGAAGTTCAGCGTCAAAGAAACATAATTTCAAGAGATGGTCCCTTTCCCTCGGTAAAATCTAACTAAATCAGTTCTGAAATGCTCCCAAGTAGTTTTAAGCTTGTATCAATCACCATATCAGCTATGTAAATGCACACAACTCGTTATCCCGGGGGGATGGGCAGCCTGCTAAGTTCTTGGTCAGTGATAAGACATCAAAGCTCAGACAACAGCATCACAAGACACCTCAGCACTGAAGTGCTACTTCCCTGATTCTACCTGTGTCCGACAGCCAACACTAAGCCAATTGCTCCTCCCCATTTCACACTCAAGTCCACGGAACCAGAGCAGTACCTCACCTACCTTACCGCCACGGGACAAGCCACCAGAGCCTGAAGAATCGCCTCCACCTTCGCGGGGCCGTCCCCGTGCCACCGGCTCAGCTGGGGCACGCAGGCCTGGGCAAGCTCCCAGTGCCCGCGCCGTACGCACTCACAGAAAAACCCGAAAAGACGCCGCAGAGAATCCGCCTCTTCGTTCCCAAAAGAATGCATCTTCCCGGGACCACGGGATGACCCGGGCCGGGGTGACACACACGAGGGCGATGCCGCGCTCCCTGGCGGGGCACGGCGCGGCCCCAGCGGCGCTCGGCTCTACGACACCGCCCCGGCGGCGCCGCCCCTCCTCGCCGCCATCTTGGGCGCCGCCTCAGCTGACCGCACCGCCGGCCGGGCGCGCGGGCAAGGCGCCCGCCCATTGGCCGAGCCGGGGCGGAATGTAAATAAACCGCCATGTTTGGTTGGGGCGCCTGACGCCGCCGAGAGAGCCCGGGCATGGCAAGCCCCGCCCCCAGTAACCACGCCCCGTCCCCGCCCCCACGCGCCGGCTCCGCCCCTTGTTGGTGCCTCGCGAGGCTTTGATTGGCTCTCGCCAGAAGCTCCGCCCCCCGTGCGGACGCCGGGGTCCGTGAAGGGGCGGGCGGCTGTGGGTGCGGGTTTAATCGTAAATACACCCACACACAGCTGCGGAGATGCATGTACACGTGTGTGTGGGAGTATAGGTACTCCCTGTACAGCTGTATGACCCTGTACATACACTTCACTCTGGTACACATATACATACATATATATATATATATACACACACCCCTCTACAAATATATATGTGCGCATCTACACTGTATACAGTATATATAGGTATATACATGGGGTATACAGACCTACATGTAGGTGTATGTATAAGGCTGTAAATTGTATATAACGACATATATATGTATATATATATATGTAGTTATGCATTTGAGAGAGCAGAGTGTCGGTATCAATAAATAAATGAACTGGGGTTTGAATGTATTACATATACAAGTATGCATATGTAGAACAGAGTATCTAACGGGTAGGTTGTGACCCCTGACCCGGAATGTTCGCCACTCGTATGAGATGTGCAGGCGCAGCTCCCGGTGCCGCTCCCCGGGCGTCCCCCTGGCCTCGCGCCGCGCCATTTGCGAGCCTGCCCCTCACGGGACCGGCCGCAGCGGGAGTGACTCAGCTGCTGGGCTGGGTGGCGTCCAGGCAGTGTTTGGCAGAGATAAGACCCCCCTCAACATCCTCCCTTTATTCCGGGCTTTTTGTTTGCTTTTGTCCTGACACGCAAAACAAAAACTCCGCCGGGGACTGCAGCGGCGAGGCAAGTGTAGGAGGGAGAGCGGTGATGACAGAGGAGAGGTGTGCCAAAGTAAGTGACCAAGTCAGTCCCCAGGGCTCCTGAATGGAAAATACGGGATGGGAGCTGTGCCCATGTGCATTCGCTGGGACCCACCCACAAACTCTGCAAGAAGCTTGCAGGAGTTTCTACCATTGCTTCCTACATCTTCCCGAGAGTTTCTCACCTGTACAGTTAACTAGGTGTCCACACAGAAATGGTGTGTGGGCAGTCACGCCTCCGAATTTTCTCCAGCCACGCTGGATGAGCTGTAACTCTTGAGACCATGTGGCTGTCATCTGTTCTGTTCAGTTCTGATACCCTGTGCCTTTAGTGATGGTACTTACTATGGTGCACCTCCGCACAAACAATTTTGCTATGTGCACTTTCAGTTTGGGGTAGTATTTTGTATCTTGTCTCCAGGCAAGGAAGAAGCTTTAGTGGGACATGAGACCTTTATGAGCATGAACTTCATTTATCCTGAGATCTTTGATGCTTATTACCTGCTTTCTAATTGCTTTATCCAGTTTAAAGTATCTCCCTACAGTCAGATTCTTTACTTGACAAGCAGTTTCCTTATGTAAGACCTGTCAAGTGCTTGATGCATTTCTTTTGTTACAAAGTTCAAAACATACTTGCTGGAGTCACCTGTACAATCCTGCAAGAGTAAATTTACATCATTAACAATTAGTACTGCTGTCATTTATGAAGGTAAATTTTAAAATTATTCTTCCAATATTGACCTTCTTAGGAATTAAAGGTTTATTATATATCTGTGAAGCTCTAAAGGTAGCTGGATGGGAATATCTAAGTGGGAAAATAAATTGTACAAGGTCATCTTAGCAGAAGACATAACTAGAATAATAAAATTAGGAAACGAGGTACAGGAAAAACAATTTTTTATCTTGAATTTGTATGCATATATTGTGCAGGTCTTCTAGCAAAACTGCCTGAATTTTTACCTTGGAACACTGGAACGATAAAGCTCTTTTTATCTCAAACAGGGTCTGTTGTGCCTTGCCTTGGAATATTATCAGTGTTACGCAAGCTGCTAATAACATTTAGTGTTTTACAGCAGCTTCTTTCTAAGTGAATCTGCATGGGGAGTGATTACAAGCTGCCCTGTAGTATTCTGTCATTTGCATTTTAAAGCCATTTCTGAAAATGAAGCCTCAAAACATCCTTAGCAATTGTTTCCAAGGTCTCCCTCTTTAATATTTCCATGTCAGCTATGGCCTGTATTAATTCCTCTACTGACCATCAAAGCTGTTAGAGAATTGCTTGGGAAAAGCAAATGTAGCTCAGATCTTTGGGTGCAGCTTGCAACTACAGGTCTCTGTGAACAGGACAAAAGCAGATCCACCCAGAAGCCTTTTTTTGCCTGTGAAAAAGTGTGACTTTTCAAAGTGACTGCCACAAAAGGACTGGGATTGCCTGTGAGGATGTGGTCAACATGCAGTGGCAGGGCAGAATCTACGCTGCTTTTACAGTGGGGGGCAGAGCCTGCCTGGCCTGGTGTAAAGCCTAATGGAGCCAAGTCAGCCCACCAAAATCTGGTAGCAAATTTGAGGTGGCAGGACAGAGGAGGTTCAGGCAAAGTCTGCACCACACATCATGCTGCCACAAAGCTTCTCATCTGCTGAGCAACTGGAATGCTGTTACCAGATTTATTGTGTCATCAGAGTGCAAGAAGTACTTTGAGATGGAAATACTTTTGAGTTCTTTTGTACATATAAAAATAAACCCAAGTTATATCAGGTGATCAAAGCAGCTGTTAAAGCTGGTTTACCCAAAGCATGACCCACTGAAGCCATTTTCACTGTTCCCTGCAGGTGGAGCAGTATGTTGGTGAGATTAAAGGTGGCCTGAGACCAACCATGAAGCTCACAGTCATAGGCATGGTACACGCCAAACCCAAGAGGTAGGTGAAGGGACTGCTGGGGGCTTCACCCTGATACACATGCTCCTACCTGTCTTCTAAATTCAGACACTTTCTTGGAGGTATGTGCTCTTTGAAGGAAGAAAATCAAACAAATTAACAATTTATGGCCTTATTTAACTTTCCTGCATTCAGACTAAGATTACAAGGTCAGGGAGGAGTTCACTGTTTGGCCTTTCTGACTGCCCTGACAAGATTTTCTACTCCTTCCCCTTGTCTAATGTGAACTGAAGGGAACACAAAAGTTGCATTTCTCCTTCAGAAAGAGGTGCAATTCTCAACCTGAATCTTGGTTGTCTGTGGGGGGTTGAAATCAACACCATTTAAAAACCAGTTTAAGCACAGGAGGTGGAGGTTCATTGCTGTCTTTTAGCTGGATAACAGCAACTCTGCTCGTCATTACACTGTTTTGGCATCTACAGCTATCAGCTCCACTGCTTCCACTGGTGAAGAGTATGCCATAACCTCTTTTAGAACACAAATGAGTACATGTTGAAGGGTTTGATTTCAGTCAAGACAGAGGGAAAGCAACATCAGAAATCACTAGCATTCTACTGGATACTGGGGCAGGAAACAAAGACCAGCTGGGTCTCATCCCTTTCTCCAGCTTCTAAGCCTGTAGAAGTCCTGTGTTTCAGTCTGACGTGGAAACAACAGCTGTCTCTAGTCTCTATAAGCATCTGCCATGTTCACCATGTCCTTTCATATTTCTGAAAGTTCCAGTCATTTAACAGATCTTTTTTCAGCTTTTCAGTAACCCTGCTCTGTGATCCAGTGGATGCCAACAAAGATGTTGGGCTGTTATTCACAGTTAACTTCAGTGAGAAATCCATCACTCGAAATGCACGAATTGCTGGGAAATGGGGAAGAGAAGAGAAGACTATTCCCTACTTTCCATTTACAGCAGGCGACACGTTCAAGGTAATTTTCAGGTACTATGAATAGGTAGAGAAAAGGAGGGGAGAAAAGCTGAAGGCTGTGTATATGGCCGCAAACAGCCAGCCACTGACATTGCCAGGTTAACTAGTCTAGTGTGGCACAGACAGCAACAGTTCAAGCCCTGATGGGAAAGAGGCATCCCTTTCTCTAATCGCAGTTGGAGTATTCACTGGAGCTCTGCAGTATCATCTTAGGAGAGGGTAGGTTATTTATCAGAGGCATTTCAGAAGAACTGGTAGACTTTGTGCTTTGCTATCCATAACATTTAGTTCTAAGTCCATGCTGTTGAAATCAGCCCTGCTGCTGATCTCTAACACCCTTCCCTGTCCCTTTCCACTGCAGATGGAGCTCTTATGTGAACACCAGCAAATACGAGTCTTGCTGGATGGACGGCAGCTCTGCGACTTCACTCACCGCGTTCAGCCTCTGAACTTGGTGAAAGCTTTGCGGATCTCAGGGGACATCAAGCTTACCAAAGTGGCTTGAAAAAAGGAGACCAGGATATCACCAGAGGACAGAGGAAGATGTACTTTCTCTTGCCTCAGACATGTTTTATCTTTTTCCCCTGGCTGATTCTGGGGAGTGGGAACTGTATCTTTTTAATTCGCTGATGTGTTTGAGATACACACTTTTTTCCCCCCATACATACTCACAGCAATTGCAGAGCTATATCTGGTCTGAATAAATCTCAAAGCCTTTGCTGAGAAACACTTCTGGCTGAAACACTCCCAAACTGCAAGATTTATGATGTTATGCAATATCTCACATCCTTATGGCTCCTTACTCCCTCAGGCATGCCAGGAGGCAGAGCTCAGTCCTCTGTGGTGGGTGGCTGTTGTGACTAGAACTGGGCATTATGCAGGTGGTGGGTCTGAGAAAAGAGGAGATTTTCTTATAAATGAATTAGGGAGTCTGATGGGCCCCAGCAAGGCTCACGTTATCAGGAGGGAATTGCTTTTCTTGGAAGCTCTGCTCAGTCAGCACAAAAACATCTGTGCCTTCCAGCAGAGAGCAATAAATGCCTTACCTGCCTTACCCTGTCTCTTCCAGGCAGCTTTTCCAGAATTGAAAGGTTTTGACAGCTGTGGATTTCACAGTCTTCTCTGGACCAGCCCTAGGAAATGGTATCTGCAGCTGAAACTGCACTGCCCATTCTTGTTCTTGCATATGATTAAAGCTGCACCTTTGCTGGAAAATTTCTTTATGAGCTTTCTTAAATATTTGAATGCATGCAATGTTATTTCATTGCTGTGGCTTTTGAGGAAAATCCTAAATGCATGGCTATTCTAATAAATAGCAAGCATGTATCATATTCTGCCTTTGGTGATGAAGGGACTTCTTTTTAGTTGTACACAATTCAGAGAACAAAACATCTGTACAGAAACGAATCTGTGGATAGAGGATTATCAAATTCCTCTATGACTTCAGGGAAGATATTGAGCATGCTGCCTTTTTGAATGCTCTGCAAAATCTGGCTGTCAGATACAGGTACTCAGATAAAACAAACTTTATGGAAATAGTGTATCAGCAGGCTGATTGGGTGTTTGAAGAATTTCCTACATTCCACTTTACCTTCTAGTGTCTCAGTTTATATACAAATCTAAAATTATAGTGTATTAAACCATTATTTTTCATATACTCAAACTGACCTCTGAGAAAAAAACACATCTCTAAAAAGCACAGGATATTCAAATGCATGGGGTTTTTTTGTTTGTTTGTTTGTTTTTTTAATATTTAATTACACCAAAGACAAGTTTAGTAGACAAATAATGGAAAAAATAATGACTTAAGATAGAAAAAGCAATAGTGAGGACTGCTACTATAGTTCTCTGTCCAAATGGTGCCCCAACATAAATGGACTTACGGTATTTATCAGAAGGAAAAGTCTTGGTTTTATGGATGAGGAATTTCTTCCAATATATTCAGCACCAGAAATTGTCTGGAACTTCCACTGGTCTGCTTTGATACTCAGGATCCTATTCTGATGTGGGACCTTGCCAGCATAAGAGTAATCTATATGGGTGAGGAGCAGGATCTTTTGTTCTTTTCCAGTCTAACAGAGAACTAAATAGTAGAGCAGATGGATGGACAGACAGACAGACCCCTTGTTTGTTTTGCAATGCATATTATCCTGGCAGCTGGGCTGTGACTTAGCACAAGATTCGTGTGGTATGCCGAGAAAGGCAGCCTCAGCCACCAGCACCTTTCATGACTTGGATGTTTCAGTCTTAACTAAGTTTATGAGCCCCTTTATAAAGGGGGAAGGAGCAAGACAATTCTGCTTTAAGATAAAGCACAACCTGGATCTGTCAGACGTAGACTGAATACTTGCACAAAAGATCCTTTTCTTCCATCTTGGAATATCTTGACATTTCTTCGTAAAGCCCCATTTGTCTGTGTCCACCTGTTTTGGTCTCTTGCTTAGATGGTAAATTCAAGGGGAGGAAATTCTGGATCTACATGATTTGGTCTGCATGGTCTCCTAGGACCTGGTAGGCGTTATGGTGATTCAAATAATGAACATTGGCTATCAAGGGAAAAACAACACTCCTGGACAACATGAGCAGGAAGTTGGTCACAAATGTGGTTTGTCATTTGGCATGGAGTCCACATTGCTCATGTCAGCGGCTTGATTGCCTCAATCCACTGCACTCGCTCTGCCTTGGAGCTGGCCTGGATGTAATAATGAATGTCATTTTTGGTGATGATTTTGAAAAGGTTGCCTTGCACATTGCCTTTCACTCCTGCAGAGAAAAAAAACCCAACATGTCAGGAGGGTGCACAGAGAAAATCTTTCTGGCAGATATGAAGCTTCGTAAGAATTTGAATTTCATAAATTAGGGAATCAAATCTTTCCTTTTTTATTATGGATAAGACATCTAAAGCTTTTGTGTCTTTGATGTCCCTCTTCAAAATCCCTGGAATTGTTCAAGGCCAGGTTGGATAGGGCTTTGAACAAACAGGTTAAGTCGAAGTTGACCCTGTCTCTGGCAGGGAGATTGAAACTAAATGATCTTCGGGGCCCCTTCTAACCCAAACATTTGTTGATTCTGTGATTCTATGAAAATGTAGTATAGAAAATCTTGCCACAGATTGTATGAACTACTGTGCACTCTACAACATATCTAAAATAGTCTCTGTTTAGGTGGAGACTATTACTTGAGTTATACACTGAATGAATAATGAACCCCTACCATTTTGCATGGTAGATTAGATTTTCTCCTGCCCATAGCTGGGTTCCTTTTAGCAAGGAGCTCTATTGTTCATCATGTGCCCCTGCCCCCTAGACCAAAGCTTTTTCAGACCTTCTCTTTAGAAAGATGTTCTGTCCTTGATATCTACACATTGTGCTTACTGTCATAAAATAAATTGCTTTAATAGCAGAAACACTTATCTATGAGGCTGAGGCTCTGGACAAATGCCTGAGCTAAGCCTACACTCCAGCAGAACTGGTTTTTTTATTGCTGTCTTTATGTCTCCCCTACATTTGGGTTCTAGCAGGTCAGAAAGGAAAAGGTAATAGAGTATGTTGAGAGGACACAGAAATGGATGGCATCAGAAGATGCCTCAAGACTTCGAGTTAACATCCAAAAAGAAAGTGGTTTCTCTTTGTCTCTTAACTCTGGAATATTAATCAGTCTTAGGACTGTCTCAGAGGTCATATGACTAAGAAAAGCCCATATAAAGAGAACATCCAAGATACGTAGAAATGACACTAAAAAAAAAGTCCCCTTTGCTGTGGACAACCCAGCAGTACAGGGACTTGTGACATGCCTCTTCCCTTGCTTGAAAGGGAAATGGAAAGTCAGCCCACCTGTGCATATGAGCAGCCACATATACAAACCCATACCCAAAGACTGTGTTGCTACAGCATACATATAAATGTGTGACAGTTCAGAGGCTTGTGCTCACCTGCTGGGACTCCATTGTCCTCCAGAGCTGAGACAAGACAGCCACGAAGAGAGAATCCACCTACTGGCTTGTTATCTTCCTGCAAAGAAAAAGGAAACAAGGCATAGCTGGAAAACATCATCATTTCCCAGAGCACATGCATCACTTTTATGAAGTTGGAGACATAATAGCAGTTTGGTTTTTCCAGGCATGAAACATCTATGTCACAAGAGAAATCAATTAAAACATGTAGTTAAAGGCATTGGTATATTTTTTCAGTCCCAGATGTTTCTCTAATGCAGCTGGGCATGGTGTACATCCATTAAAAGCACAAATGTAGGCAATCACACTTCAAATGTACGTATGGTTTTATCAATAACAACATACTGAATTATATATATTTCTGTAAGTATTTAGCTTGCTGCTTTGCACTGAGACTGTATGGGGAAAATCTGGTTCTTTTCCCTAGTTGGCTGTCACTCTTGTTTCTTGCCTGCAGGCTCTGCAGTTTCAGCTTATAGCCTTACAAGGACAATTTGCAGTGAAAAAAATCCCCAAAACCCATGTAGGAACAGGAAACAAAAAATGAACTGGCTCCATAAACTCTTTTCACTGATATGTCATTTCTATTTGCTTTAAAAGTCACATAAAGCATTTCTGTACATGTTCTTCTTGCAATCCTGTTTGGCTTTGTGGAACCCCAATTATCTGAGTTGCTCACATTGATTATTACATTCATGAACATAAATTCTACTTTTCATGAGAAAGTTTAAAAATGAGTAGTAGAAATTCTATACATACTATGGCATTAAGAAGACCCTATTCAGTGCTGGAATAAGGTTGTAAAAAATCTCAGCACCAGTATGATCCTCAAACAGTAGGATTTCAGCCCAGAAAGATCACAACCCAGGAAGAAAGCCTGCAGGACCATGGTCCCAGAGTGCGAGGGTGCAGCAAGAGAGCAATCCCAAGAACAGGGAGCTGCTGCCCAGCTAAGGAAAAGGAATCTCACTGGGAAAAAGGACAGAAAATGCAGGGCTACAAAATCCTGAAAGGACAACCTCCTAGGGTGAGGCCAGAGAAATCTAATTCCTGGAAACGGATAGAGGAACCCAGAGTGACAGAAACATTTACAGTGTAACTGTGTCTTCACTAAAATGTTTCTAAAAGGATTTCTGGGGATGGTAACTTCCCACTCACGTACCTTGGTGGGATCATAGTAGTGCAAGAAAGCAGGATCAGCTCTCAAAACAAATTTTCTCACCTTCCAGTTTTTCCTCTTGTGCCCCTGCAAAATGGAAGAATTAAAATTACTACCTTGTGAAATGACCATTTTCCTGCAAGCTGAAGGGGAGACATAAATACCAAAACAAGAGGGTTTGGACCCAACAGAGAAAAATATTTCCTAACATCTTGGTAATTCCCATGATCTTCTGCTTATCGTTCTTCTTCATATATTGACAATTCCTTTATCTCTTCCTTCCCTGTGCTGAGAACTAAGAAAGCAGAGTGACAGGAACAAATGGTTATATCCCTCATTCCTGCTTTTCATTTCAGATTAAATATGGGTTTCAGATTAAGACCCCATGCTGTGT